AGGGATGTTGTCATTCTTTCTTGACCTTCGCCACTCCACATAATCCGGAGTGAGCATGCTTCTGGCAGCTACAACATCCATCCGGAATACTTTCCTCCACGAATCGGCTGCTTCTTTGATCATCTTCTTATAGCTGTCGCCGTGATACTCAAACTCTGACTTAGCCAACCCGCATGTTGCTGGGACAAACTGACGTGCTCCGTACTGTCTAAGTGCTAATAGCGGAGCATACCCGACTGCTCCCCAAGTCCAAGTAAGGTCACAGTGTCAGAGTCACCACATCGGAAAAGAACGTCACTGAGAAATAGCCAGGGGGCTCTCCAGACAATATCCTGATCCTGAAGATGCGTAAAGACCTTCATCCATTTTTCTTTCGAAGCGCCTTCATGCCATTTCAAGGTGATGAATTCACCTAGAGGTGAATAGGTGGTGCTGAAACGGCGGTAGGCAACCCCGTTAGTCTTCCAGAAATGGCTGTGAATCCAGACCTGAAGGAGCTGAATACACCCGGTAAATCTTCCTCCGCCAGTTCTTCGGCAATGGTTGAGCGATCGAAAGGTCTCGGCCAAGATGGCTGGTGCTGGGTTAACTCGTTTAGAAAGTTGCTCAAATAGTTCCACCACGGCAGCGTCAATGCACCCCAAAGCTTTCGGAAAGATAATCAAACCGTACAGACCCAGTGCAAAAAGGTCTATGGTCTTCCACTCATCAGGGTGGTTTTTCATTAGTTGTTTTATGTGGATCCATTCAATTCCTTCTCCACTGCCTCTACGCTGAGTCCGATCGATTACCCATTTCTCATCTACTCCTGCAACTTTGGCCAGTGCATTCTTGAAGGGCTGGCTTTTTATGTGTTTAATGTAGGCTCGCTCAAGCTTGATGCTTTCACAATGCAGCAGTGTAGTGTATTCTTCGATGGTAGGCACCATGTCCTCTTGGTTAAAAGTGAAGCAACTATATCCCGGGTTCCAGAATTGAATTAATGCTCGGAGTAAGGGCTCATCAGTCTTGACATGGAGCAAGAGGGCGATATCACCATATCGTTGGCTGAACTTCTGCTTTCTGTCATTCTTCCAACTGTCCCAAATGTTTCGCAGCTCCTGGACATTATTCTGTTTCAGGCTGACAGCGGCATAACTAACCAGTTCTGACACATAGTTTCCCTGAAGACTGTCTCCCTTCTCTTTCTGAGCCTTCTCGGACCATAGTCGTGCCTCAGCGTTTTCAATCTCTTGTATTACAACACCTTTGTCCATTAACTCGAATTATTTTGTGTATAACAAACGTTTTTTAGGGATCAATAGCCTCTTGTAATGATGCAAATGCTAGAAAACAAACACAAAGGTAAAAACGTTAGTAAAATAGAAATAGATGAAAATAAATAAAAATAAATGGTAAATGAAAAAAACATAAAAATAAAAAGGTTAGGAAAGAAATGTCCTAGGTTTTGGAATGTGGTTTTGGGGTAGGCTCTATTTATTCAAAGCCTCCCGGTTTGGGTTCTAAAAACGGTACTCGAGTTCTCCTTGCTGGCGCCCCCTTGGACCGACCAGACCCTTAGTCCGAAACCCATCACAGGCTTGTGTGGACTAAGTTAAACTCGAGAGGACACATTCCCTTATGCCCATACGGAGAATAAATTCACACGAAGGCATAAGGTATATGAATCCCGAAGGCTACTTGCTAGGCCCATACGGTGAATAAATTCACACGAAGGCGTCGCTTTCACCCCCACTTAAAACGGGTTCGGAGCTCGGGTTTAGAGCCTTAGATGAAAATGTTTGGAAAGCTGAAATCATTAGAAAACGATTAGTACAACTATTTACTCGAAAAATATAATCAAAAGTAAGCAATAAGGATCGAAATTTTACCTTAAAATTTAAACTTACCCTTTTCGTTAAAAAGACAACTGGAAATTACCTTAGCCTGACTCGCTTACCTTGTCCCCAGCGGAGTCGCCAAGCTGTCGCAACCGTCTTTCGGTTGGGCCCCGGAATTGGGCTTCGACTTGAAAAATGGATTGGAGTCGCCACCGATTATTTATTTAAAAATAAATAGGTTAATCGGATACCTTATATCTTACCTGATCTGCGTCTTACCAAAGATATGTCGGATTCGGGAGTCGGTTACAGCTAAGGAAGGATTAGCACCCTTGAATTGCCCTTTCGGTACTATGTAATTTCCAGTTGTCTTTAATTAAGAAAGTTGTAAATTTAAATTAAAATGTAAAATGGCGATCCAAATTACTTACCTTAGATTGCTTAAATTGTACCCTTAAAAGATCGAGACATATATTAGATAAGGAATGCAAATAAAACACCTAAGGTAAATGGAAAACAAATAAGATGAGGAAAATATAAAATAAAAATGATGGTAATAATAATAAAGATATAAACAATAAAAAAAATAAAAGATATAAATAGTAATAAATAAAAAAAAAAACTAAAAAACTAAAAAAAATAAATAACTATAATCAAATATGTACAAATAAAAATAAAAAGGAATAAATAATAAATGAAACATAATAAAGGTGAAATAAAATCACATACAAATGTAAATGATATGAATTAAAAAATGTCCATATGTATATAAAAATGTAAAATAATAGCGTATAAGGTAAAATTAATGAAAAACATATAATAATATTAATACCATATATATATATAATAACTAAATATGAGAGGGAGAAAAAAAATCTATATAATAGTAATAGAAAAACTAAATAATGAAGATAAATATAATAAGAACAAAAGTAAAGAAATAATAAGATAAAATACAAATGTATACATATATATATATACATATATATATATATATAATATAACATATAAGTAAAATAATATATAATAATACGTATATACGAGTGTAAAAAACTAATAATAATAAAATATATATATAAACATTATAATGTAATATAAAAAGATAATAGATAAATAAAATTAAAATCCAGAAAAAGGGTCAAATTGAAAGAACTATAAGCTAGGGGATCAAAATTTAAAGCAATATTAAGGGTTAATTTCAATTTGGGGGGTGAAATAACTCTTCACAAGATACGAGGGACCAAAAGGGTAGTTTACCCTAATTTATTACAAAACGCGGATCTGATATAAACATAGATCAAATGTTTTTTAATTTCATTTTCTCTTCTTCTCTCGCCCGAGAGCAACCCCATCTCTTCTTTTCTCTGCCTTGTTCTTCAGAAATGAAGAACACAGGTGACATTTTCCAGAAACCAACCGTTGGCCTCCTCGCGCCGCCTCGCCGCCGTCGTTGAACGGCGACGGCCGCCGTTCATCGGCGGCAAAACCCGTTTTTTTTTTCTGTTTTCCAAAGCTTTTTAAATCTAGTTTTCAAAAACCAAAATATTTTTTATAAAAAACGAGCCTCGGGGGCTAGATCTACAAAAGAAGATCCCGACCAAGCCCCTCCGTTCATCGGCTAAAATGCTCTTTTTGGGTTTCTTTCGAACCAAAGCTTAACGAAGACACAAGACAAGGAAGAAAAACACGCAAAAGGTATGAACTTTTTACCTTTCCTTTCGAAATATTTGCACGAAACCTTCGAAAGAAATTCTGAATGCTTGGTTGTGTCTTGCTGGTAATTTTGCTTATAACTTTGCTTGTATTCAGTATCAAAAAATCCCCCCTTTTACAATCGATGATTACACGTATTTATACTAGAAAAAAAACCTATTTTTAGTTTGATTTCCGAGTCCTACTCGATCTAAACTAACGTCTTGTTTGCTATTTTTCCGGTGTCCCAGCCATCCACGTTGCTGCGGTTGTTGCATGAGGGATGGTGTGCCTTGAAACTCGGCGCTGGATGCGTGAAAGGAAAGCTGGAGCGGCGTGCGGCGCTGGAATGATGCTGAAGCAATTAGGGTTTTCAGACAAACCCTTATGTGTCATCTGCTTCGGACCGTTGGATCTCACTTAGATCCAACGATCAAGATGCTTGACGGCTGGATGAGAGATTGAGAGATTAGGGGTTACACAAACCCTAATCCATACTGGTTTGGGCAGCTGGGTCACTTGGGTCACGTGGGATTTGGGCCATTACTGTTGGGCCTGTAAAAGGAGAGAAGAGAAGAAAAAAAAATGTAAATAAACTATATATATATTATAACTTATAACATAATATAATATTATATATATGTATGTATTATGAGGGACGAATTTAAGTGTCTTCAGTTATAATGACGACATCTGCTGTGAATATTTTTCTTTGATTTCTGGTTATATATATATATATATATTCTTGTAACGTGTTCCTGTAATTTTTGTTTTTTTGGTGCCAGTACAAGAATGTTAGACCAGATTACCTGAAGAACATATGGAAGGTCATCAATTGGAAATATGCAAATGGAGTGTACGAGAAAGAAAGTGCTTGAGATTGATGTAATTAAGAGATACTTCGTTTGGTTGGCAATGGCAAACAGAGTAATAAGAAGAATAAGAGAATGATGTACATTCGGAGTTTCTTAGTGTATGCCTTGTACGAATATTAATAATATTAAGCTTTATGCTTAAAACTTGAAGTTGTGATGTATTTGCACTTGGCCGTTGCTTTTGGGTTTTTTTTCTTCACCCTCTCGGTTCCGGAGCTGATCAATGTTAGTTCAAATGCTAGTGACTAAAGAAAACCATATAATTCGAATAACTTGTCAAGGGCGCTCATGATAGAACTTTTGGAAGGAGTATCGGTTTTTGCACGACTTGCCACCTGATAAAGTTGAAGTGAATATCATTACCGAACATCAGGCAACTTAAGTATAAGAGCATATGTTTTGGGGAGATAAACCATGGGAGGGACCTCATCCAGTTTGATATATCCAAATGGTAATTTGGGGTCACTTTCTTCCAACATCCGTTTCAGCAGCTTTTCTAGACCAGTCCCTGCACCTTTGCCCACCCACCCCCACTACTCAGCCAAGTTTAACATTTCCATGATATAATTTCCACTATAAGAGGTCCTGTCCACGAAGGGCCTGACACAGCAAGTCAGCAAGTGATGCAGCATCCTACAAAAATCGACAGAAATTTAGCATACACCTGCTCAAGTAGTTATAGAATTGAACAATTTTTTACATTGCGGAAAGAGAGAGAGAGAGAGAGAGCACAAAACCAAAATTAAATGCACACAAGTCATTAAAGGAGATCATACTTTTATCGTGTTATTGCAAGGACAACTGATTTGACCAAGTTTATCCCATTAGAATGCTTGAGAATTTCCACAGCGATTACAGTAGCAGATGAAACCATAATCCCTATCATTTACATAAAAACATCAGATAAGTACTAAAAGAAGACTAAAAAGATACAGATTTTAACACTGTCATCATTACATCACCTCTTCTCCGGTAGCTTCCCTCGATTCATTTGGAGCAAGACTCTGAAAACAGGTCCATGGCAAGAGTAGTATGAAAAAAGTGGAGTAACACTGTAGCCGAGCACAGAAGCCTCCCTCACAGCACCACCTATAAGGATTCGCAATCCAAGCTCGTTTGCATATAGCATTGGACAAACATATGCCCCAAATGCTTCTAATGAACTATACATACCCATAAACAGATATAATTATCCCATCACAGGGAATTAAAATTATACATATGCCCCAAATGCTTCAAATGAACTATACATCATGCAATTGTTATTCTGATGAATCATGAGAGACATGGATCTTATGTTAGCAGATGTTATTTTAAAGAAACTCAAATGAATATTTATGTAAACATCATCAGACCTGTTAGAGGTCTAAAGTAATGGACTCAACAAATTGGTCTTGAGCCCATCTTACCCTTTATAATTAGAAGCCCTCCTGGTAGGCCTCAAAGAACAGAAGAAGGAAGGTTGATGAACCATTGATAGAATAGGAAAAATGGATAGAAGAGGGGTTACCGTGACATGCAAAAAAAGTAGAAATGCATGCCATAATAAGAGGTCATGTAGGGGACAAATTGGTGGCAACACCAGCTGAAAAAACCCCGTGAGATCCAATTCAATAGCTCCAAACCAGCAACAAGTGACCCTAAACACTCAGAAAATCAATCAACATAGTAAGGTGGATGATGCCTTCTGCCACCCAACCTCAAGCACAAGTAAACAGATATGCCAAATTACCTGTAAGAAATAGAACAATTTTTATTTATGTGTATGGTTGATAATTTTAGGTATAATATTGTATGATTTTTTTTCATTTCTAGATTAGGAGACCAATAAGATCCAATCTGGAAGGTCCAAGCCAACTTCATCAAGAGAGTCGGAACAAACAACACTCTGGCGTGACAGTTAGATGGATGATGCCTTTTCAACAAAGCTCTACCATCCAACCTCAGACAGAAGATCCTACTACAAAGAGGCCCAGGTGGAACTGAAGATGAACCAAGAATTTTTTTTGGTTAAACAACTTTGTCATATAGGGTCAAGCCTATAGGTGAATATTACTTTTTGTAAAAAAAATATAATTGTTTATTTTGGGTTTTATTTTACAAAGTTGTTAGTAGGGTAGAGGCTGCTGGTGAATATTATTTTTTGTGAAAAGGTAAACATATATGAAAATTAATCAATACACACATTAGGTTATTTTGTTCAATTTTATTCTTCTTTATTAGCTGTTACTCGGATATGTATAAAGTTGTTTTGCTTTGTATTTTATTCAATTGTTGTCTAATGTTGTTCAATTAATGTTCAGTTCACAGAATATTCATAACAATTCAAAATACATAACATTTCAAACTCAACAAAATTTCCTTAACATTTCAAACTTAACAAAATATTCTTAACATTTCAGCACCCGAACACATTTCAACTTTCAGTACCCAATTCACAAAACCTTATCAAACTGCAAATAACCCTTAATCAAACCTTGATGACCCTTACCATCATCAAACTTCAAGTACCCAAATCAAATACATCATCAAAATATCCAACATTTTACAACTCTTAACAAAATATCAATTACCTTGACAAAATGTAGAAAAATAAAGTCAAAATCATAACAAATATCCAATTACGTCTCTCATTTTTCCTTTCTTGTTCAATTGGTCTAATTCTTCTTAAAAAACCAAGCACATGAACGCAAGAGGAGTCATTGGTGGGGCATACTATTGAAAAAAATTGTACGATTTACGCCATCTACTGCTATAGTTGTCACATCCGAAAAACCGCCTTCCAAGGTTATCATACGACCATGTCGTCTTCAGTATCGTCGAAATTCCACACTTACAGATCGGAATAGACTTTGTCTCGGCCATTGATTCCATCTTCTTCTTCTTCATCCAGTTTCCCTTTTCCATGATAGTTTTTTTTAATGTTTTAGGGTTAGAGATTTTGTTTCTAAAGTTTAAATAGAACCAAGAGATAATTAATAAATATCCATCTATTTTTAATTATGTGGGAATCTGATGTGGCATGATAAATATTAAAATATTCCACGTCAACGAGCTGTTAATGAAATAATGACACAAGGATTAAAAAGTTCAATCCCTAAAGTTGAGTGAGCAAATTGAAAATTTGAAAGTATAGTGAGTAAAATAGGAATTGTATGAAAGTTCAGTTATCAAATAGGTAATTTACCCTAAATCAAGTGAGGATTTAATGTTTTCTGTCGAAATATTAAAATCTTATTTGTATGAAAAGAATTTATTGTTAGTGTATGAAATAATTATCCTAAATAAGTACTATGTGTTAGCCTAATTTAATAGTACTGTTACGTAATTTATTGAGCAATTTTAATTAGAGATGAATAAAATTTGACTTGATTCAAAAAATTAATTTTTTATTCGACTTGAAAAAAACTCGATTCGAAATGATTTCGAATTTTAATTTCATAAATTCAACTTGATTCGAAAAATTTCAATTTCAAATTGAGTTGTAAAATACAACTCGAATAACTCAAAATTTTGAGTAATCAATGGATGAATTTTCATGTTTGAGTCGAGTCCCTTAATTTTTTATGATATATGTATATCAGTATGAAAGAAATATATATGTATTGTATTTTTTTTTATAAAAAAATCACATAGGAATGGATTGTTATATATATATATATATATATATGTATTGTATGTGATCATAAAAAATCATTTAAATTAAAATCAAATAATATTATAATATTATAAATATTTATAATTAAATTTAAACATAAACTTAAAAATTCGACTCGACTCGAAAAAATGTCAAGTCAACTCCGAGTTGTAAAAAATTTAAGTTTAAAAAAAAAAAACCAGGTTGTTTGACAATATTAAGCATTTCTTTAATAATCCATAGATTAATCAATTAAAAGACTAGTACATAAAACCCTATGATTCTGAAATCATTATATACAAATCCTCATCGTCGTATAGAAAAACTACCCCAAAAAAAAAAATATTCATTCATATAGGAGAGAGCAGATGAAGCTTTGAACTGATCTGCCTCGGTTGACCTAGGTTTCTATATCGTTGCTTCCTTTGCTAGGTCCAGACGACGGCACCTGCCCGCCCTTGGGAAGCATGCTGAGGAACATGGGCCCATATTTTCCGGCTAGTTTTTGAGTCGGGGACCTCAGAACTCCGACTTCGAAGTTCTTAAATGGAACCATGTGGTCACATGGCAGAGCTGTCGACTTAGGGTCTTGGTCGGGCTTGTCGGAGCCTTCGACATCGACAGGAAGGCCGAGGTTCAAGGTTGGCTGCGTGGCTGACGGATTACCACTGAAAGCCTAGCTGATGAAAGCGAAACAGATGAGACGAAGAAGAAGAAGAAGAAGAAGACGAGTGATGTGATGAGGTGAGAATATTTGTGGGTTTTGTTGGAGGTCGCCATTAATGGGAAGTTGTGATATTTGTTGGCGATGGATGAATCAGAGGGGTATACTTTTTTATATACAGAGGGGAGGCTGAATCGTTGTCTGTGGAGTTGACCAAGTCAGTTGAGTTGGAGTTTAGGGGCTGCTTGAAGTCATCAAACTGTGAGAAAAATGCATGTTTACGCTCTGATTCTCATTCTACACGCTAATACATTGACTTCGCTATATTCTTCTTCCATCTTTATTCTTATTTATTAACCCTTATTCATGATTAGGTTTGAATTTATGTTTTTCTTAATTTTTTCATGACATTTTACTAATATTTATAATTTTTTAATAACATTTGTCTAGGAGAGAAGAAAGAGAATTTTGCTCCTATGAGTGAACTTGCAACCTATGAGAGATGGAACGTGTTAACTGAGAATTCTTAATAGAGGTTGTTGACACTAATACTTATAAACAATTCATGAATTCACCTCTATTTCTTAGTCTAGTAAAACAAAATTTTAGATCTTTAAAATAAGATTAGATGTTTAAATCTCAACAAAAGTATCAAGTTAAAGGGAGCTATTTTTGTAATGAACCTTTCCAATATTCAATCCGAATCACGTAGTGAATCCATCATGTTGTCTCACGGATAGAAGAGAATGCTATTTCCCTAAAGAATTTAAATTCAAACAATCGCATCTATATGATGTGTTAATATTCCTAATATGCTTAAAATATTCGAAATATATATTACCTTATAATCACCCTAGACTTCTAAACAAAACGTAAATTAATTTTCGTAATATTAAGAAATTATGTATTGTCATGTCACATATGGAAGTCGTTAGAAATATATACTAGGTTTGAATATGTATAAGGATTTTTATAAAATAATGAAATTTTATTTCACAAGTAAAATAAAAATAAAAATGTAATTTTGACAGTTTGTTTGTAAAATAATTTTACTTTCAGTATACCTAAAAGTAATTTCCTTGTATTTGGAAAAAAAAATAGAGGATAGTAGTTGAGATTTGAAATGGTAATTAATGTAAAGAAGAAGTTGGTCAATGATTTTCTAAATATTTGAAGCATGTCACAATTAGCATTGAAATTGATAAATGGACAATAATAGAGCAAACAAAGCAAGTTCCATGTATTAGTCTAATGGATCCCCTTTAATTGCGGTAAATGACAATCGGACCATCTTAGATATTTATAAGGATTTTTAACGACAAATTAATTTTAATTGGATTTGAGGATGGGCATGACATCCGTAGCCGACAGTTTCCGACCCGATCTGACCTAATTGGGTAGGATTTTTTCTAAAAAAATCGGTTTCGAGTCGGGTCGGATTTTTTAATGTGATGTTAGGTTCGGGTTCGAGTTTAGAGTGAAAATATCCGACCCGACCCGAAAAATATAATTTTACCTTATATATTTAGGAATAATTACAATCATACACACATATATATTATTTTTTTCAATCAAGTCATTGTTTTATTGAATAAAATAATTTTTGTATTATTTCGGGTCGGATCGGGTCAGATTTTAAGTTATATATTGGATCGGTGAAACTTATTTTGGTCGGGTCGGGTCGGGTCTTGGGTGGAGGACTCATTGTTCTCAGGTCGGGTCAGGTGGACAAAAAAGCCGACCCAACCCGACCCATGTCCATCTCTAGACTCATTTGAACGATTTTTAAATTAGTAATGATCTTTTTTATGAAATTAAATT